GGGAGGGAGGGAGGGAGGGGGATTTCACCCAATTCTCAGGCTGTAAAACATGCTAAAGTAATCCAAGGGACTGGAGGAAAAAAGGCTAAATCAAACCCTTAAGGCAGCTATTGTGGTGTCTGGCAATGGCATTCTGAGTTTTAGAGGGACATTTTTCTTGCTCTATAAAGACTGAACCTTGCAGCTTTTGTCTGCAAATAGATGTTTGTATGATACTTTCCTAAAAGATAGTGCTCTAAAAGAGAGAGAGAAAATGAGAGGTAATAAAAGTATTCTATCTACCAACAATAATAAAACACATGGCCTACAAGAGAAATAGGTTTCGTTTCCATAAAGGCAAGACAAGTTTTTCCATGATGACCATACATATGTTGGTTTGTACTTAGCAGCCTTCTTTCCAGATCTTCCCAGTGATGCAGCCACGACCAAGAAGTCTGCTACCATAGCTGAGACTGGGAGACGTGATCCTAGGCCACAGATGACCCCAATCACATTTTTTACAATCTTCAAAGCACGCTCCCCACCTAGTTTATGTTGCTGAAACTTTGGGGGCAAAAATGCAACATTTTTAAGGGGAACCATTTTTTAATGTTTTAACTCAAGGTGCAAACCCCACCAAATTCCCATCATAAAGCCATCATACTTTAAAGCCCAAATGTTCATACTACATCATACATAAAGCCCAAATGTTCTTGACCCTCCCCACCTTAATCACATCATCCTCAGTTACAGAATAATAAATAATAAAGGTACAGTATCCAACTGCAACAAGATTTCCCAGTTCTGACCTACAGGATTCCCAAATAACTACGTACAAAGGAATAGGGAATAGGAAATCTACGTTGTAGATTTCACTGGGGCTGACTGTTATAGCAACCCCTCTCTACACACACACTGTTCCAAGATAGTTACAAAAGTTTGTTTTATTATTTTTTACTTTAAATATATAGTTGTTCCTACCACAAAACAGTGTTTATTTCAAGTAAACACTACATCATAACAAATTCTGTTACGTGCTGTTAGTTATAAATGCCACAATTTACATACGTTTAAAATGCATGTACTCCAAAGTTTTTTGAAGTTGTTTTTTTTAATTTGCTACAGCATATCAGGTATATAAAGCAGTTATAAGATGTGGATTGTATGGAGTCCAGGGAGAAGAAAAGTGGCGTGTGCTTTACAAATGCCATATTACACATTGGAGCTGTGCAGCACTTTGGATATGAAGGGAGAAATGGGATTCAGAGAAAAATGGGAGCCAGAAATGCCGTAATCCAAACATGGCTACAGAAGGCAGCCACTTTAACTCGGGAAAGGACCATCTGCTTTAAGGTGTTTCTGACAAATGTTATGGGCACACCCAGGTGTCTCTGAATCACACGCCTCCCTTTGATTCCAAACTGCTGCACAGCCCTACTGAACACGGCCATTTAGAATTCCCCTGTTGGACCTAAACAAGGCTGCTGGTCCCACTTCTCTCATCTGGGTTCACGTTCATTCAAAGATAGTGCCACATGTGCCTCATGAAATCAACTGCCTGTATGCATTCCTTTAGATAGAGTGCTGGGGACTTATCTTAGGGCAATTCTGCATTGCATCCTAAGGACTGATCTATATTTTCTGCTTGGCCCATCAAATATAGTCCACCCACTTCTTGAGTGCAGGAATGGATGACATCATCCTCTCCCCACTCCCAGCTCATTGCAAACGCATCCGCACAGTGTTTTCCAGCTCTGATTCAAAACTATAGTTTTATGTCTCAAGCAGTCTTAAGCCCTTCAGAGTAGAGGGTCTCCGGGGCTTCATTCCATTGTAGTAGGAGCCGTAGCTCTGATTGGATACAATGCCTGACACATCTCCTCCCCTCCAATGGCTGGGCACTGCCCTGTGTCATTGTTTCATCCTAGGCTGCCAGGCTCCTATGTTCTCTGCTGGTTAGCAATTGCCACTTTTTAATAATCTTGCATTGATCCAGCAATGCCCCCTTAAGTCAATGAAGTCTCCTCAACTCTAGAAGCTCATGCTTCATTCAAACCTTACATCTCCCATTGGAATCTGTTTTGGTTTCTGCCCAGTCTGGGTAAAGGATCCTCCCCTTGTTTCACCTTTCCCTACCCCCAGTATAGTACTGCAGTGCTTCCCTTCCCCCTTTTAAAAAAAAGTTGCAACGTAGGAAAGTTGCTACTTTCTTTCTATGAAATGGAACCATTAGTTCTTTTTCCTTACAAGTTTTTCATGGACCCACAAAGGATCTTAGGAACCAAAGAGCAATGATGCTACAATAAGGGGAAAGGAAGGGATGTGAAGGCATCTATGTATGGAAATCTCTGGAAAAGCAAAGGAAGGCATGATAGTAGTTAGGTGGGACAATCCCTCAAAGGCAGGCACTGGTAAAGTGGTCTGCCACAGCAGCTAGCCAGTGAGACCTGCCTTCCCTGCATAGATGAGAAGAGCAAGGAGCGGGGAAACAACCAATCAGGTCTTAGGGTGGCCATAGTCCAGACTGAGTACCAGCCCAGCCCTGTTCCCAACCTTCTGCAATCTAGACTGGAATTGTTGAAGCTGGCTTAAGAAATAGCCAGAAGCATCATAGGAGACAAGCAACTTAGGGCAATTTAAACTTGAAGGGCTTAAGATGGCTTGGGTTGGAAAACAGGTTTGAATCAAAGTTAGAAAACATGGCTGTGGTTGGGATTGGGAGAGGACAACATCTGTTCCTGCACTCAAGAAGTGGTGAGTGGCCAGTACTGGTGATGGGCCATGCAGAAAATGTGAATCTGCCCTGAGAGGACTGCTATAACCCAATGTCCAAATTGTCATTGTAGATAGCTGTTGTTTCTATATAATTTTAGAAACACAAACACCAGCGCACTTGACTAGCCCTGGCTTTTTAGCTGTCTCTCACAACAGATCCTTCCGAAAGGATGTACAAAAAAGTTAATGATGCAGTTAACAGCGGGAAGCATCTCTCCATACTCAGCTC